TGGTCCAAAGCATGTTTGAGCCTTACTTCAAAATGCCATCAGCCATGCTGGTTGGGATGGTTTGAGCCAAGATTTTTGGAAGGCCTGAAGACTGGACAGGTGGAAACTGGGTGTGGTTGAAGGAGGGGAAGCCTGGGGTGTAGGGATCACCTGAACCCATGTGGACCTGTGAGACATTCAGGGAAGACGGATGGATGGAAAGACAAAAGTTTAAACAAGTTTGTCCAGCAATCATTGCGCTTATGAAATCCTCGAGTTTTACTATCAAGCTTCTGAAATTAAAATTAGAAGAAAAATACATGAAAATAGACTACTGACATTTTGCTTAAAACATTACAGGCTCAGCTTAGCTGCTTAGAAGATTTATTTACTTTAAAGCTGACAGAAATACAGATACATTTCACATTCATCAGAGCATGTGTTGCTGTATCTGCTTCCTCTTTCAATTAACTTTACAATGTGTGCCAAACATATTTGCTACCTTATTAGTGCAATACTAACACTACTTATAGAAAAACTAGTCACTGTTGAATGCGGAAACAGTTCATCAATATTAGAAATTATGAGATACATTTAATGTACAGTAGAAATGCTGAACGTGATTGAAGTGTGAAGGAAACTGATTGTTTTGTGTATGTGTGTCCACCACCACTAATCGGCTCATCTCAATCAGTGTTGACCGTGTTTTCCAACTTAAACCTGGTGATGGTAACAGCTGTTTCTAATACATTTTTGTCAGTGTGCCAAGCTTGTTACTGCTATCAGCAAACAAATCGCATTAGAGCACCATAAGACTCTGATGAAGCAATGATGTCGGGGCAGCACAATACTTAAGCGCTCACATTGGGTGCCCTCCAGAAATGTTTTGTCAACATTTTATTTGAAGTCTACTGAGCAGTTGATCAAGTTTGTGTTAGGCATCTTCTGGAGGAATTTAAATTATCTTTCTTTGATAACCCTTCTTAGAAAAGAAACATATGAATGCCTCTTCTCATTGAAAAAGATTGGAAGAAAAAAACGCGAGGTGGACAAGGGGCATTATATAAGCAGTTTCATCCTCCAGCATTATACACCTGTTCACACTCACATGTCCAAACAGAGGGGTGTTCCCTTCCTTTAAGTAACTTGAGGGGTCTGGGTAGATCAACACAGCAGAGGCATTCATCTTGGCAGCATTGGCCACCTGTGTACACAAAGGAGTTAAGGTAAAGAAGGGGACATGAACAAAAAATCTGTCCGACTGCATGTCTTGATAAAAATCACCCACCTTTTCAGCCAAGCTGATCCTACCGGCCCTGATCAGCATGACCCTGCCGTTCATGTTGATGCTTTTGTCCTGCAGTGTTTTGAAGTCATTTTCCTGCCCGTAATACGCATACAATACGACACCCTAGGCAAGAAATGTATAACATTAAGATCACTTAATTTATTTGTATTACATATTTTAAATGTGCTGTTCTTAATTAGGCTTTTTAGATAACTTACTGTTGCTGTTCCAGTGGCACTGTAGGATAGAAATCCTTCCAGTTTCTGAGCTGTCCCGTTCTTGAAAATAAAACTATTGAAGCCAGAAGCCGGACGGTCCTGAACCTTCACAAAGTGCTCATCAGTCCAGGTTTTCATGCCGTACTCATTAAACTTGGTCAGCACCTTGTTTCCCAAAACCTCGTCACCTTGAGAGCCAGCCCGGTGGGAGGTACTGGAAAACTCACTGGAATAGCAGGAAATCAAAATCAGATAAATTGAAAAGAAAGGCACAAATAAGAAAACAGTGAATAAACTTTCTGAAAATGAAACGCAGAGCTGACACTAAGTGATAGGACACTCTACAGGTAGTCGGAGATAGGGGTGGGACAAAATATCAATACAGCATCTTGTGACACAATTATCGACTCGCTGATGCCGAATATCCAAATTTTAATTAGATAAAAAATATATGACACTCTAAACAGATTTCCCTTTCAATTTGACTCGCTGTGTCACTCTTCGTGACTACTCAGGGTGGTGCTTATAGCATTTGCGAGTGTAACATGAACAGAAGTTAACTGGACAAAGAAGAAGTCGACAGCAGCATCATGTCAGACAGCATTAAAAGGAAGTGAATCTGAAACCTAATTGCAATTGGAAAGTATCAATTAATCACAAAATTGTTGCATCATCTCGTATCACACCACACTGTATCGTTTCCCCCCCAGTTTGAGAAGTCAATATATTAACCTGAAAACAGGCTCAAATTTGGCTGGGGAAACTTTCTGTGCAAGGAGCTTTTTCACATTGTCCCAGTCCATGAGGGGGGGCCGCACCGGTCTCAGGGACAACAACTTTGTCAAAAGAGAGGACAGAGGCTGCACAGATGGGGGCCACATCCTTCTTCCGATGAACCAAGAAGCCAATCAAGTACCCTGGAAGTATCAGTGATATCAAATGAGGAACAATCAGAGAAAGACAAGAAAGATTGCATTGAGTCAGCACTATAATATGCCATAACTGCACAATTTGAATCTGTTGTACAAGCCGAGAAACAAAACCTAACTTTTAGATGTAAAAGCTAGCTTTAGCCTCTCTATGTTGCTCAAAGGGGAGACACAATAATACCAGAGCTATTATTTCAGATGATAAAAGCAGATTTCTTTCTAAAACTCAGAACATATCCCTCATATTTCAGATTTATCCTGATTGAATTGTGAACATTCAGGTACGTCTCCATCAGCATGTTTGGGAAAGACAAATCAATAAATAATAAAGAAGTGGTGGCCCTTAGATTGATCCTTGAGGAACTCCACACATTATTATAAGTTATGAACACTCAAATTATCTTAGCTTATCCATCAACATCTCCCTCTTACCGATGATGAAAATGAGGAGGGTGCCAGCTGCCATAAAGCAGAGGTTCTTGGGGGTGCGTCTGAGTTTATTAGCATCGAAGGGTTTGCGGTTGGAGTTGTGATTGAGGTGTTCTCCCACACCATTTCCCCCGACCTCCTCATCCATATCCGACGACAGCTTCATCTCCACCTGGCTGTTATCACCTTCCATGTTCTGGGTCAAGTTGAAACGGGTGTAGGAGTGCGGCTCCCCGTTAAACTGTAATGACAGCCCAGGGAAAATGATTTTTTTTATTGAGTCAAGATTTTTCAAGGGGTTTTTGTAAAGTTCTGAAGTAAATCAAATGTAATCCTTAAATAAAAGCAATGTAGTTTTTGTACCACTCAAAGCATAACTGAAAGTTAATATAGGTTTTTAAATTTTATTCATACTTATTTGATAAGTGATAAAAAGGTCACCGTCACGGTTGCTTTGAAGTAGAAAACCATATACAGAATGCTTTGTTCTTGGAGCTTTAGTTTACCCAGAGACTTCGCTTGCCACCTAGGAAATATCCTCAGAACTTGTGGATGTCACCCACAGTAAGAAAGCTTGGCATCAGCTTTTTAACAGTTGGGATTGCATGTTTTATTGTAGTAAATTAATCCTGCAGAAAGTGTGGTTTATGTGAGGTCTAATATTGGGTAAGAACCCGCTAAATTTACAGAAAGTGAGCTTAGTTTCTCTTCCATTATCAACAATCCTTCTTGATCACTCATATTCTTTAAACAAATTATAATGTAACCTTCTCCTTTGTGAGTTTAGTTTGCTCAAGTGATTACAAGATTTTTAACATGACAAGCTATCTAGAAAAACACAACCTCATCATGTGCACATATGACTTAAATCTTTTAATTTCAATTAACCTTTAATTAATCATCTTTAAATTAATATGAATTTAGCATTTTAAAAATAAACTTAAAAATCTTTTATGTCTTTTAAAAAGATCATAACAGAATTAACTTACATTAGTTGATTCCCAAAAGTACACAGAAGGATGTTGAACGATGACTAAAAATCAACACTAAGCAGTAGACCTACCAAGAGGATCTGTCAAAAAGAAAATGACGAAGTACTTCCTGTTTTGACTTTCGGAATTGTCTTGTGGGGGAGGGATGAAGTAAAACAACAGATATGAAGTTTTAATAAAATTTCATTACCTTTGAAAAATAAGTAGTTCAAAATTGTTTAAATTAAGTGGAAGTCAGTCTCCTTAAACTTTCTGGTATAGATGGCAGAAAGTAATGGCAATAAGCTAATTCTGTTCACACCTCTACATCAGTGGATCTCATTTATTGCAGGGATTATTTTGGATTATTTTATTATTATTAGCTAGATTGTATTTACTGAGTTGAGTTACGGTAATTTAGCAGCAATCATTAGCTCTTAGATTAGTATTAGTGGGATAAATTGATCATTTAAATCATGAAGACTTGATATATACCGTACTTTATTTCTTGTTGTTGTGCACACTTCCCCCAAGATTAATTAAGTATTTGATTCTGATAAATGAAATGTCCGTAGCTTGCTCCTAATGAGTTATTGCTAATCATGTATTAAAGATATAATATCAATAACAAGTATAAGTCCCGATGCTGGTTATAGACCTTTTATTAAGTAAATGTAACTGGTGTAGATGTTGCCTAATGCAGTGATAAGAAAATAAACATGGGCAAATCTTTCTAAAGATGAACTCAGAGCACTAAAATTACAAAGTAATAAGTATTTGTTACACAAGATTCAAATAAGAAAATCATTCATTATGTTCAAATAATACTCATTTCTGAAACACATTAAGTCTTACTGTAAGACAAGGCTTGTTATTACAGGATTTAAGGCTGTATTACAAGGCAGACAAAACACTCACAATTTTGGTAATTTTGGTTCTTCTTAATTGATGGGGGCTTTCAAGCTCTGAGGAACTCTCATTTTGTGTCCTTTTGGCACCCCCTGTGGAGAAAGTGGCACATCTCATCTCCTTGCCAATTTGTTTCCAACAAAATCAAAATACTTTTTCCATCTGTGACTAAAAGAGTTCAAGATGAATCTTTAACTTCACCCTGTAAACGTTTTCCCATTCAGCTCACTTAAAAGAAACAGACCATCTTATATCTTACAATCATGAGACGACTCACTGTTTGTGATGTGATTGTTTATTGCAGCAACACAAATGTAAAGTTAAGCAGCTTGTATACAGTTGGAGAAAATGAAAAAGCAGTTACATTAATTTCTTAAACACATTGTTTGTTCATCTGGTGAGAATTTTGAAACACTAACTTTTTCAAACCAATTCCTCCACATCCAGAATCATACAAAAGAAAGATAATGTGTATGTTACATTCTCAGCGAGATGCCAGTAAATTAAATCTAATTCTTCTAACACGTTTTATTGAAGCCCTGCAGATCTGCTCAATCACTCAAACCATGCATGTCTGAATGTTTAATAGATGTTTGCAGAGAGGCTATCAATGTAAAACATTTCATCTCCCGTTTTTCTACTGGAGGCATGACTGGAAACACAGAATGACCAGAGTCGGCAAATTAGCTCTAGGACCATTCACTGTGTAATTTTTTTTTACATCCAACTTAGAATTAATCTTTTCTTTTTACAATTATCGTGTACCTGGTAACGTTTACTGACAATATTGTAGCATTACAGGCTTTTAAACCAGTAACTTATGATTCTAGAAGAAAGCAGGGCGAAGGGAGAAAGAGAACAGAGAAATGACAAAACAAGCCAAATATACATCGTCCCAAACATAAAGTATTGTTCTGTATGTAGCACTCAGCTCTATACTGCAGTCATAACACAAAAAGGCACAAGGAAAATCTTTAAACAAGAAAACATCCCAAAAGAAAGCAGAATTTACGCTCCCACTGACTACATCATTATAAGCAAACCCATTTATTTTGCAGATCGGTGATCTTTAACAGGAAATACTGGACCACACGGCTGTAACCACGGTGGTCGCAAATATGTTTGTAACATATCTAGTATTTTAAGCAACGCCTCCTGTATCAGTCTCGTGTGAAGTGGATAAAAGAAATATCACATTAGAAGCTTTTGATTAAAATGTGACCAACAGAGGAATTGAAAGACACGCAGCTTCTCTGTGTTACTAAGCAGACGGATGGGAAATGCTTTGATAAGAGCTCATGTAAAAACTTGGCACCATCTGAAGAAGCTACAGCGAAGAAAACATCAGAGAAGGCTTCTGAAGATGCAGACAACACGAGCCGTGTGTAGCAATGTATCCTATATACAGACATTATGGGAAACACTGTCCCCGATAATAAAAAACATCCACCCCTACAGTGAAATATGGAGGGCACTGCCTCCGATACAGACACACACTGGTAGAATAAAAACTACCTTCTTCTTCTTGCACATTATGGAAGACACTGCTCCCGATAATGATGGGACGAGACGTGTACATGCACCGAGGACCTGTACTGACACAGAGAGGGGGGGCCAATCCAGTGTCAGTAAGAAGGAACAGAAATCACCTCAGAGTTGTGCAGTTTGAAGAGAAGTTCCTGAAGGCTGTGTGTTCAGTACGGCCGTCGGTCCACATGTACACTTCTGTTAGCAGATGCTGCTTTTGTCATTTCGACAGTATAACTGTCATAATTATGGAAGGCACTGCTCCCGATAATTATACATCGTTTATTTTTTTTATAAAAGGCGATAAAAAAACTATTTATAGTGAACCCTGCCACTGATAAATAAATAACACAATAAATAGACGTACGGTTTCAGTTTCAGTGCCATATGGTTGGAGACCTTCTCTCTTGATTTTGTAAAAAGGCCTACAGAGGTTTGCTCTTAATGTCAGGAGGTGGACCATTCAGATTAATCTCTATTTCAGGTTATTCGTTTCATTACATGTAACAGCTGTTGATTGTCCAAAACGTTGCTCGAACAAATTCTTGGCCTGTCCTCTCCTTTAACGTCCTTTAACGAGTAGCAGACTTCAGCACAGTATGACATTTTTTAGCTACCAACACAAACGGGCTCAGGTTTGAACGTGAGGCTCCAGCAGCAGCAGCGGAGAAACCAGCAGTTTTGATCTGTGAGAGCTGTGGTAGACATGATCAATGGTTTTGATTCTTATAACCTACCAGCATGTTGAGATTTGTTCTTCTCTGAGCTGGCAAACACAGCCTTTCCTGAGATCACGGTCTGATGATACTGTGCTGTAAAAACAGATCACTTTCACTACATTCAACTCGCTCTGTTTGAGTTGCACCGCCACCTTTTGAATGGCTGTTTCAGGTAGTTGTTACTAGCACCAACGTATTTAAAATGCCACGTTTTGAAAAATGATATTACATGAAATGAAGTTAGAAGAATGATAGAATTTTTTCTTTCTAAAGAAGGTAAAACAGAGGATGACCTACTATTATTGATATTGGTTCAGCGGGGAAAATGAGTATAATCTATTCTAAATGTTTGGCATTGTGGAGTAGGCAGCTGAGATGATCAAATAGAAATATTGGCTGTGATGATTCTAACATTTAAAAAAGTTTCCACCTTTAAATTTACTCAATAACCTTAAGTTCAATTTGAAATATGTGCCGCTGTGACAGTCGTTGAATCATCACAGCCGATTGGTTTTCACACTGTCAGTTTTGAAGAGAGGACCAAACCATAGAGAAGGAAGGAGAGGGAGGAAACTTTTTCTTCTTTTTTTTTTTAGATTTCGTTATCCAAAGACCAAATGTTTGCTGCTAGTGAGTCGGCGCAGCCCTGAATGGTCCAGGTGGCCAGGGCGAACTGGTTGCGGAAAGCATCGGCATCTGCATCAGGGTTGTTGGCACGGAGGGCGTCGAGGTGGTTGATCAGACCCTTGAGAGTGTGAGCACCCGAACCCAGCAGGATGTGGCGGAAAGGATTGTCACTGGGAGACACATAGGGGGACAGGAAGCTCCTCTCCACCTTCAGAAACAAGAGAAGATGAGATGAAGGAAGATTTCTCAAAAGGTCACTGATATATGTCCTGCTTTGATGATTACGGTTGAACATCTGTGTCAGCCGATATCGGCCATGTTTACAGACAATAATGTGGCGCCACCTGTCAATAGCCAATTTAAATCTGTTGTGTCAGGTCAATTAAATGCTGGCAAGCTGGTAAACCTAACTGCTGATTCAGAGGTGAGGTTTTTTATTTGGAAGAAGGAGCCACCTGTTGGACAAACTCTGATTTGTTTTTATGATCAAATTTAAAAGAAAATGGAGGCAGTCTTATATTTAGATACATCAAATCTCATTGGCTCATCTGAAAAACACAAAAAGGGCATTTTTTTAAAAACATTCTGTCAATGTTTATGTTTTTTTTAAGTACAGCTTCAGTAATTTAACAGGCCCCTTTAAGGACCCTGGTTTCTTATCTAATTATAAACCTTCTCTGTACTGCTTTATATGCCAGACTAAAACAAATCTTAAAAGTCAGATCTGACTTTTTTGTTTAAAATTCAATCTTGTTGTGTTTCTGTAGACTGGACTGACAGCACAGAACCTTACACGCTACAGTATAGTCTCAGCAGTGCAAGGAAGTTAATGACACCACCTTTTTCCACATTCACGTCAAACCATTTGTTTTAAAGCAGGAAGAAAAATATAATATGGACGCGTGCTTGTTAAAAAGCCCAAATGTTCCAAAGTAAGACACTACTATATTCCTTTTGCATCTGAAAAGGGTCTCAGTCATTTCAACTGTTTGGATACTTTCAAAAAGATAACGGATGAAGTAGTCTTACAGCCATGATGCGATCGTTAATGATGCGGCACATCTCGATGTCATCAAGGTTGCTGTTCTGGATGTCTGTCATCAGGTCATGAGAGGCGCGGCCGTACGAGGCCGAGGCCGAGCTCAACCACTGCACCGTCAGGGCCTCGGGCAGCTTCTGGGGCTGCTTCTGAAAACACACAAACACAGCAGTGATTTAGTGCTCTGAATAACAAGCGGAATGGACGTACATCTTCAGGGAACATTTAGGTTCTTAATTAAAAACAGTTAGATAAAATACTGTGAATTTAAATGACGCATTGGCTTCTGGAAGAGTGTGAATCAACAAGAAGGTAACGCAGGCATTGTAGACAAACTGAGGCTCCTATCCTTCACACACAAAAACAAACACACTCACCCTTCGCACAGACATGATTTTCCCGTTGATCTGAGCCACCTGAACCTTGATAATCTTGTTGTACTTCTTCAGGTCGAACCGCAGCAGATGATCATGCACCAGCCTCAGCACCATGTGGCCGGCGAAACGGGTGGCTACTTCAGCGAGCTCAGGAACCTTTCTGGCCACGGCAGTGTTCAGATTGTCCTGGGTGTCCAGCGCTGTGCCAAAGAACGAGTAGTGCTGAGAGCGAACAGAGACAAACAATTAGATAACATAAGTCACAAGATGGCTAAAGGTTTGTTGATTTAACATGTGCAGCGGGTGACTTACATCTCTATCTGAGTTGAACCTGAATGAAAGCGAGGGAATGCCAGAAAAGGCGACAAATGGATACGCAGCATCGTTCATCTGAAGAGGCTGCAGCCTGGAGAATAAAAACATGAAGAATTCTGCTTTAGCTGTGATTTCTTTTAATGCTGGTAAATATTTAGGAGAAGAAGAGTGGAAGTAGAAACTCATGAACATTTTTCAAATTAGCTTAATAAAAAAAAAATGGAGAAATTATGAATTAACTCAACCTTTACTTTTTTTTTTTTTTTTTAAATAGCAGATTTGCTTCCCCTAGCCACCACTTGTTTGAGCTGTGACACATAACACATTACATAAGCAGACACGTGTGTATGTTTGCACTGGCACCATGAGTTGTGTGAGAGAAAAACAAGAAATAGGGAACTGGACTTTAGAGACTGTAGCTTCAGTTTTTGGCCCAAACACAGCCCTGTTCACAAGAGTCTGTATGGATGAAGTTAAGAACGTTACCTAACCAATTGCTGTCACATGCAAACACAGGCAGATATGACAAATTCAGACCAAATGATGGGGGAAAGGGAGAAAGCTCAGATTCTGAGTCATCACAGTAGAGGGAGAAAGAAGCTGAAGCTACACTAAACATGCTACAAACTCGTAGTATTCAAACACGTGACTAATCTGGTACAAAAATCTCCCACCATGTGGCGGATAGCGCCTCTCAGATTAACTCAAACGAGTAATCAGCCATCATTTGATGATTGGCAGGCGTTACTCTCAGACTCTGGCTAATAGTGAGACGGTGGTTCTAATGGTGATGTATAAACACTGATGGACACTGAGGGTGTGACTGGACGAACAGCGTGCTCAGACTTACACATTTGCTTCCAGGTTGCTCCTTGCAAATTGAGCATAAAGAGACCTCGAGTCTCGGAAGTTCACCTGAGGACAAGACAGATGTATGAGTACATTTTATCTTCACTTTCACAAACGGATTAAAGACTTGAACAAATGAAAAATAACGGGGGCTTCTCCTAAATGTGCTTCAATGACTGTTGAACTTCAACGACTTTTTCGGCAGGATAAGTTATAAAAACGTTAAAATCTAGGGCATCAAAGCACAATTTATTTAACTATCTTGATGAAAAAACGGGTCACGGAAATCCCTCCAGCTTTTGTCTTACCTCCCTCATAGTGCTCTCAATCAGACTGTGCATCAAAGGGCTTGCTGCTACTTTAAATCTATCTTGGCCTGCAAAGGAAGACACATTCAGCCGTTGTGAACCATGTTTTGAATATTTAACAGCTTAATCTGAAGTTAGAAGGTGTCTGAAGTCAGTACCTGTTACAACAGCATCCAGGTTGATGTAGGCAAAGGCTTTCAAGCTCAGAGAAGAGAGATAACCCTGCATAAACAAAACACTGTTAGAACAATTCTAACACAGAAAAGTGGCGTCACCGCATGGACAAGGGGGGAAAAAACTCATTTGGGAAAACTAGAAGTAGCAGTTCTTACCTCCAACCACTCGGTGGCACCAACGTTCCCATATTCCCCAGCCGTCCAGCTCACGAACACAATACTTCTCCTTGGTTTGAATCCATCTGTGACGAGAAACCAAAGTAACATTAACTGAGCTGCTCCATAATGTTAAGGAGGATCTGACATGAAGGGTAAATAACAATCTAGCACTAGAACACTTAAAGAGAGCTGCTGAAGCTTACCGTTCTTCACCATGTCTGAAATGGAACGTGCCAGCTCAACAAGGACACTGGTGCCAACGGTGGACGCAGCAAAACCTGGACCCCATGCGTCTCTCTGGGCACCAATAACCACATATCGGTCTACAGTGTTAAAGAGAACGAGATGGTTAGTAGACAATCATCACTTATTTGTCGTCTATATGAAATAAACTTCTGATTGTACCTGGATCCACAAAGCCTTTTATGACCCCAAAGACATTGCTTATCTTCTTCTCTGTAAGAACGTTGCCGACATCCACCTTAATTATATCTCCTTCCCCTCCCAGTTTGCTGAACAACCCCCATCCATTGGGCACGTTATCACCCCCCAGCTCTCTGTGGAACGTACACGATATACATTAATGATGCAAGCAAAGGAATATCTGGTATAGATAAAAGCCCTGAACGCATTACTATAATTTCAGGTATAATGTTTCAGGTGGTCCAAAGCATGTTTGAGCCTTACTTCAAAATGCCATCAGCCATGCTGGTTGGGATGGTTTGAGCCAAGATTTTTGGAAGGCCTGAAGACTGGACAGGTGGAAACTGGGTGTGGTTGAAGGAGGGGAAGCCTGGGGTGTAGGGATCACCTGAACCCATGTGGACCTGTGAGACATTCAGGGAAGACGGATGGATGGAAAGACAAAAGTTTAAACAAGTTTGTCCAGCAATCATTGCGCTTATGAAATCCTCGAGTTTTACTATCAAGCTTCTGAAATTAAAATTAGAAGAAAAATACATGAAAATAGACTACTGACATTTTGCTTAAAACATTACAGGCTCAGCTTAGCTGCTTAGAAGATTTATTTACTTTAAAGCTGACAGAAATACAGATACATTTCACATTCATCAGAGCATGTGTTGCTGTATCTGCTTCCTCTTTCAATTAACTTTACAATGTGTGCCAAACATATTTGCTACCTTATTAGTGCAATACTAACACTACTTATAGAAAAACTAGTCACTGTTGAATGCGGAAACAGTTCATCAATATTAGAAATTATGAGATACATTTAATGTACAGTAGAAATGCTGAACGTGATTGAAGTGTGAAGGAAACTGATTGTTTTGTGTATGTGTGTCCACCACCACTAATCGGCTCATCTCAATCAGTGTTGACCGTGTTTTCCAACTTAAACCTGGTGATGGTAACAGCTGTTTCTAATACATTTTTGTCAGTGTGCCAAGCTTGTTACTGCTATCAGCAAACAAATCGCATTAGAGCACCATAAGACTCTGATGAAGCAATGATGTCGGGGCAGCACAATACTTAAGCGCTCACATTGGGTGCCCTCCAGAAATGTTTTGTCAACATTTTATTTTAAGTCTACTGAGCAGTTGATCAAGTTTGTGTTAGGCATCTTCTGGAGGAATTTAAATTATCTTTCTTTGATAACCCTTCTTAGAAAAGAAACATATGAATGCCTCTTCTCATTGAAAAAGATTGGAAGAAAAAAACGCTAGGTGGACAAGGGGCATTATATAAGCAGTTTCATCCTCCAGCATTATACACCTGTTCACACTCACATGTCCAAACAGAGGGGTGTTCCCTTCCTTTAAGTAACTTGAGGGGTCTGGGTAGATCAACACAGCAGAGGCATTCATCTTGGCAGCATTGGCCACCTGTGTACACAAAGGAGTTAAGGTAAAGAAGGGGACATGAACAAAAAATCTGTCCGACTGCATGTCTTGATAAAAATCACCCACCTTTTCAGCCAAGCTGATCCTACCGGCCCTGATCAGCATGACCCTGCCGTTCATGTTGATGCTTTTGTCCTGCAGTATTTTGAAGTCACTTTCCTGCCCGTAATACGCATACAATACGGCACCCTAGGCAAGAAATGTATAACATTAAGATCACTTAATTTATTTGTATTACATATTTTAAATGTGCTGTTCTTAATTAGGCTTTTTAGATAACGTACTGTTGCTGTTCCAGTGGCACTGTAGGATAGAAATCCTTCCAGTTTCTGAGCTGTCCCGTTCTTGAAAACAAAACTATTGAAGCCAGAAGCCGGACGGTCCTGAACCTTCACAAAGTGCTCATCAGTCCAGGTTTTCATGCCGTACTCATTAAACTTGGTCAGCACCTTGTTTCCCAAAACCTCGTCACCTTGAGAGCCAGCCCGGTGGGAGGTACTGGAAAACTCACTGGAATAGCAGGAAATCAAAATCAGATAAATTGAGAAGAAAGGCACAAATAAGAAAACAGTGAATCACTTTCTGAAAATGAAACGCAGAGCTGACACTAAGTGATAGGACACTCTACAGGTAGTCGGAGATAGGGGTGGGACAAAATATCAATACAGCCTCTTGTGACACAATTATCGACTCGCTGATGCCGAATATCCAAATTTTAATTAGATAAAAAATATATGACACTCTAAACAGATTTCCCTTTCAATTTGACTCGCTGTGTCACTCTTCGTGACTACTCAGGGTGGTGCTTATAGCATTTGCGAGTGTAACATGAACAGAAGTTAACTGGACAAAGAAGAAGTCGACAGCAGCATCATGTCAGACAGCATTAAAAGGAAGTGAATCTGAAACCTAATTGCAATTGGAAAGTATCAATTAATCACAAAATTGTTGCATCATCTCGTATCACACCACACTGTATCGTTTCCCCCCCAGTTTGAGAAGTCAATATATTAACCTGAAAACAGGCTCAAATTTGGCTGGGGAAACTTTCTGTGCAAGGAGCTTTTTCACATTGTCCCAGTCCATGAGGGGGGCCGCACCGGTCTCAGGGACAACAACTTTGTCAAAAGAGAGGACAGAGGCTGCACAGATGGGGGCCACATCCTTCTTCCGATGAACCAAGAAGCCAATCAAGTACCCTGGAAGTATCAGTGATATCAAATGAGGAACAATCAGAGAAAGACAAGAAAGATTGCATTGAGTCAGCACTATAATATGCCATAACTGCACAATTTGAATCTGTTGTACAAGCCGAGAAACAAAACCTAACTTTTAGATGTAAAAGCTAGCTTTAGCCTCTCTATGTTGCTCAAAGGGGAGACACAATAATACCAGAGCTATTATTTCAGATGATAAAAGCAGATTTCTTTCTAAAACTCAGAACATATCCCTCATATTTCAGATTTATCCTGATTGAATTGTGAACATTCAGGTACGTCTCCATCAGCATGTTTGGGAAAGACAAATCAATAAATAATAAAGAAGTGGTGGCCCTTAGATTGATCCTTGAGGAACTCCACACATTATTATAAGTTATGAACACTCAAATTATCTTAGCTTATCCATCAACATCTCCCTCTTACCGATGATGAAAATGAGGAGGGTGCCAGCTGCCATAAAGCAGAGGTTCTTGGGGGTGCGTCTGAGTTTATTAGCATCGAAGGGTTTGCGGTTGGAGTTGTGATTGAGGTGTTCTCCCACACCATTTCCCCCGACCTCCTCATCCATATCCGACGACAGCTTCATCTCCACCTGGCTGTTATCACCTTCCATGTTCTGGGTCAAGTTGAAACGGGTGTAGGAGTGCGGCTCCCCGTTAAACTGTAATGACAGCCCAGGGAAAATGATTTTTTTTTATTGAGTCAAGATTTTTCAAGGGGTTTTTGTAAAGTTCTGAAGTAAATCAAATGTAATCCTTAAATAAAAGCAATGTAGTTTTTGTACCACTCAAAGCATAACTGAAAGTTAATATAGGTTTTTAAATTTTATTCATACTTATTGATAAGTGATAAAAGGTCACCGTCACGGTTGCTTTGAAGTAGAAAACCATATACAGAATGCTTTGTTCTTGGAGCTTTAGTTTACCCAGAGACTTCGCTTGCCACCTAGGAAATATCCTCAGAACTTGTGGATGTCACCCACAGTAAGAAAGCTTGGCATCAGCTTTTTAACAGTTGGGATTGCATGTTTTATTGTAGTAAATTAATCCTGCAGAAAGTGTGGTTTATGTGAGGTCTAATATTGGGTAAGAGCTTAGTTTCTCTTCCATTATCAACAATCCTTCTTGATCACTCATATTCTTTAAACAAATTATAATGTAACCTTCTCCTTTGTGAGTTTAGTTTGCTCAAGTGATTACAAGATTTTTAACATGACAAGCTATCTAGAAAAACACAACCTCATCATGTGCACATATGACTTAAATCTTTTAATTTCAATTAACCTTTAATTAATCATCTTTAAATTAATATGAATTTAGCATTTTAAAAATAAACTTAAAAATCTTTTATGTCTTTTAAAAAGATCATAACAGAATTAACTTACATTAGTTGATTCCCAAAAGTACACAGAAGGATGTTGAACGATGACTAAAAATCAACACTAAGCAGTAGACCTAACAAGAGGATCTGTCAAAAAGAAAATGACTGAGTACTTCCTGTTTTGACTTTCGGAATTGTCTTGTGGGGGAGGGATGAAGTAAAACAACAGATATGAAGTTTTAATAAAATTTCATTATCCTTTGAAAAATAAGTAGTTCAAAATTGTTTAAATTAAGTGGAAGTCAGTCTCCTTAAACTTTCTGGTATAGATGGCAGAAAGTAATGGCAATAAGCTAATTCTGTTCACACCTCTACATCAGTGGATCTCATTTATTGCAGGGATTATTTTGGATTATTTTATTATTATTAGCTAGATTGTATTTACTGAGTTGAGTTACGGTAATTTAGCAGCAATCATTAGCTCTTAGATTAGTATTAGTGGGATAAATTGATCATTTAAATCATGAAGACTTGATATATACCGTACTTTATTTCTTGTTGTTGTGCACACTTCCCCCAAGATTAATTAAGTATTTGATTCTGATAAATGAAATGTCCGTAGCTTGCTCCTAATGAGTTATTGCTAATCATGTATTAAAGATATAATATCAATAACAAGTATAAGTCCTGATGCTGGTTATAGACCTTTTATTAAGTAAATGTAACTGGTGTAGATGTTGCCTAATGCAGTGATAAGAAAATAAACATGGGCAAATCTTTCTAAAGATGAACTCAGAGCACTAAAATTACAAAGTAATAAGTATTTGTTACACAAGATTCAAATAAGAAAATCATTCATTATGTTCAAATAATACTCATTTCTGAAACACATTAAGTCTTACTGTAAGACAAGGCTTGTTATTACAGGATTTAAGGCTGTATTACAAGGCAGACAAAACACTCACAATTTTGGTAATCGTTGATCTTGCCTGATCCATCGCTGCTTCACAGGAGTCTAAAAAGGGAAACAAACAAGACAAATATTTGAGTGAAGATTCAGGGCTTAAGGTTAATTGTCGTCTACATCTTGCTTTCATATGTAATGTTTTAAAGATAACCTCAGGCTCCACCCAAACTCATCTCTGGTTAGAAATAAAGATAAATAAGATTAATCCCCTGTAGTCCTGGTGGCTATAAATAACTTACATCTTTTAAAACAGCACCTTTCAAGTCCACAACTGGATGAGAGCTTTATACTCAAAGACAAATTTAGAGTATAATACACTAAGTTTTCTTGGCTGTGTTTACAATGCATTACTGTTTCATTTCTGAGAATAATGGGGTGTCCAAAGAACACGTCCCACCTCTTGTTCAAACATCCATGGGGTTTCCTTTGCTTCTAACTAGAAAGGCAGCACTGTTTCTCAGCACAAAAGACCAGTGTCCAGTACAGGTCAACACAGACTCCATGCCTCCATGTGAACACCATTGCCAGAGGAAAACCATAACAGAATAACTTGCTTCCCACTAGCATTGAATCAAAAGACAAGCCAAACAAAGCAGGTTTCAATTGAACACTGCAACAGGAACTGAAATTCAAGTCTTGTGTATATTTTCTTAAATATTCGAATGAAAAACCTGTGTAAAAAGGAGACAGGCAACACGGCATGTGATCATCCTCAGGAGAGAGGTCTGCACTGTAAGGTGCATCCACTATATGAAAGGTCAGACAGGTCTTCAAACTCTGACTTTATATTTTAGAACTAATATGGATCATTCATACCAACATTCTTTACCAAACTGTTCTTTAACATATTTTATATAATAAATGCACATAAAAAATGAAAGACACATTTTTCCAGTGTAATATTTCTGACCACTCAGCAAGTTTTGTGTTGATTCGCCGTTATTTGACACTTGGTCAATGCATTGTCCTCTGCTGCAGATTTTGAACGTTGGCTGATGATTGACTTTGAGAAACATCGGTCATGAGTCTGTGAATCCAATTGACTATTTAGGATGATTTATAATATTATCCAATAGCATGTATACAATATTAACAAACATCCACCCATCAGCAAATAATGTGGCAGTGCCAGTAGTCAATGTTCATATGTTGCATCAAATCAATGTAATGCTGGCAAGCTTGTATACATAACTGCTGATTCAGAGAAGAGGATTTCTATAAGGCAGAGGAAGTCACATGTTAAACAAACTCTGATTTGTTGCCATGGCCAAACATGAAACAACGTAATATTTTTATTCCAGGCCCTCAATGCTGATCAAATGTTGTGTGTAAGCTTTAATGCTGCCACCCACCACTTAGCTCCGGATAATGTCTGATTCCATACTGCCATATTGCTCTACTACCCGGATGTAAACTATAGCATAGGAGACGGATAGCATCTCGTAGCTGGGTGGCTGGCAGGTTTTGATCTAGAAAATGGATATAAAGTTGTATGAAGGCTCTGTCATGTTAAACTGACATATATAACCATCTGACCAGAGCCATGTAATGCGTAATAACTAGCTCTAGTAGAGGATATAATGCTACCAGTGCTAGCACTGCTAGCCACACTCACCAACCAAATTGACATTGTTTACCCGTAGACAATGTAATCCTGTGTTTAGCCGTGTTCGATAAATAATGCTCAATTTTGAATGGATAATCAACTGGAAAATTAGTCTTTAGGAACATTTCTAGTTTTGATCTTCATCTGGCTTGCCACATTCATATTTTATGTACAATCCAATATTGAACAATGTATGGTAATCATCAGACAGTTTTTCTACTGCCCTACTGAAAATGTACTTTTTAAAGAGGTTTGCCTCACAGCTCTGTGACTATTCTATTTCATTGAAATTTCCTCCTTTGAGATGTATCTAAATGAACATCTTGTCGACAAAAATAACACTCCAATCACTTCCTTGTTCAGGACAAAAGCATAATGGCGTGCACGTGTGTTGTTTTTGTTCATATGTCGCTCATACTAAGAGATCCTCACAATAGAATTAGTACAACGTTGCACAATGTATCAACAACAAAGCACACCAGATAACAATGTACCTGTAGAAAAACACATATGGAGTGGAGAAAGACTGTTTTAAAGTTACCACGGTATCATTCATTTTAGAAAATCACGAAGCTTTATCACAGAATCCTGCCATCTGTCTTGTCTCCATGTCTTTGCATTTATAGATTATGCTGATAGTTGAATGTTAGAGTGTGAAAGTCTCGCAAAAACACACCCACAAAGAGCTGGCCATATTTTTCACTCACATTTCTACCTTACACTGAACAATATTTGGTGCCCTATGCAAAACACATTGTAAGTGAATCAACCCTTGTTATAATCTGGTAAGCCAAAAGGACTGACTTTGAGTGCTTTCCTATTCTATCAAAGGAGAACAGACAAAACACCCCCAAAACAAGCCTGGTCTTATCTACAACTTGTGTGTGAGAAGAACTGGTATATGGCATCAGGGGTTAAGCCGTCTTCACTGAACGAACTTTGGACTGAATTGAACACTGCTATGTTGACTGAAGGCTCAATCATAAACCACATACTCCAAAAATTGTAAAATCACACTGCAATTTTTCAATGTATCCAGAGGCTACTTTTTCAGTGTTAACAGGGAGTGATAAAAGGGGACAGAAAGAAACCTTGAACTTAAAATAAAGGACAAAAAGATGCTCAGCTTGTCTGATAGATCATAAAAGCTTATAACTGAAGGGTCAATTCACAAGCTCCAAACTGGACATTGCGTGAGGAGAGCTGGTTTGGGAGAAAGCCAAGGGGACACTAACGATCGGGCTGGCAGGCCTGTCTGCTCTAATTTGAAGCACCAAAGCATGGCCTTGCTAAACCCCTACATCAGGCTCCAAGACAGCCTACGTAAAAAGCCTAACCTTTAACTCAAAGTGCATTTCAATACGGCAAATGAGGGTGCATACATGCTGCGCGAAGGTCATCACATATCTTAGTAGTTAGTAAACATGCTGGCTATTCTGGGTGCAATGAAGAGAGGCTAACTTTAGAACATGGCCTGGCCTTGAACAGCCCCATTGGCCCCCCCAAGAAAACGCTGTACATCAGAACGCAATTTCAAACAAGAGAAGAACTTTTGCAGCCTCACTTCTTTTTCAAACTTAACCAGAAGACAGTTTAGAAATACCAATTTTAAATTGCTATCAAAGAAGCTTAAGATGCTTTGTAAAGCTAATTGCTCTCTAACGTGGCCCAGCTATGTCTATAATCTTGCATACCAAAAATACCAAGCCCAGGCTTAATACTTTAATCAGATTAGCTACTTTTTTCAGTTGAAGACCTATGGATATAAGCTAAATAAAAGAGAAGAATTCTGTTAAGGAGTGACAGAATGTGCTTTAAGTCCTTGAATGCAGCCACTTGCTTGTTGCAGTATCTGACAGTAAGAGACACAACTTGTATCTCTGAATTACTTTCAAACACGTGTGTGGGAGAGATAGTAAGAGCAAAACTGGTTCACACCCTTCTGGGAACTGAACTGAACTAGTAGCTGTGGTCTGTCAGACTCGCTCAACTCGTTATGACCTGTTCTCTCGACTTTAATAGAGGTTGATGTTGGATAGAGTTCAATGGCATTCAAAGAAAGGAGCAATGTGAAACAGCAGCACCTGTTTTTTTCTCCTCTGTTGTAGGGTTGCTCAATTAACTGCAGAGTCTGAATTTATCACAACAAATAAAGGAAATTATTTTATGTAAAATCAGAAATGCCTGGATATAATGACTATGCCTTCACACAATGTAGGGGATGAAGATGAAGCTCTCCTGAGCTATCAGATACCTTGGGATTTATTTGGGGACAATTTAGTGGTGAAACAAATATGTTGCCCGGATTAATTTTGGATTCAGGAGAAACACAGATATAGTGTAAAACATGAAGAACAGCAGATAGACATAGAACAGTTAGCTATAGGTTATTATGCATTCTTTAATTTCAGTTATATATCGCACTTCATATCATTATCACACCTTAGAACAACGCCATTGCACATTTTTTTCTCATATCAAGCAGGCTTACTCTAATGCAGACCAATGAGACAAGAACTTACAAGACTGCAAATGGCATGAAAAAGATCTGATATGCTTCATAATCAAGTGTGAGTTTAGTTCACATCAAAGGCTGCACAGCACTGCAGACAGATTAAATATCCCTGTCAGTGTTGAAATATGCGGTTTCCAGGTAAAGGGGGAAGCATGTTGCAACAGCAGCTTCCTCATCATTTTCTTAATGATAAACAATCCCTTTACAGGAGAAAGAAGTGATTGCTCCATAAAGTTACTGGAGCTGTCAGTTGTGGCAAGAAGACTAGTGTTGTGACATTACCACAGTGCTTCTGTGAACCCGGCTGAGGGTTACTGAAGAAGCATAAAGCTGGAGGTGAACCCCTTCTCTCTTTAATAGAATACCTGAATCAATCACTCATTCACTAAATTAGCCTATTGAGTTTACAGGACAGGTGCAGCTCTCCATGCATTTTAAACTGCTGACATGCTCTGCTTTATATTTACTCCAAAAACATTACATCACAGTACTAGTTTGTGACCCTTAAGTGCATCCTGATAACTGTCATCTTGGTGCTTAAGACTTTTAAGTTATTTGTGTTAAGGGTGATCTCAATGCTACACAGCATGTTTGTGCTTGTGCAAAATACAACGTTCAAAAAGACAAACTGCCAACTTATCTAGTTATGCAGCAGCTCAATTCATGCCAGATTAATCCTTTATCACAGATCATAAAATGGTGTGAACTCAATTTATTGGATGCACTTATAATTATAATAACCGCCAATAATTTCAAGACATGCCGGTAAACCCCTAGAGCCCTAAGGTCTTCCTGAAGCCACACAATTACATGCTAAATAGTTAAGAGACAATTCAACCAGTTGCTCATTCCTTACAGAAATCATGCACAATGCACCATGGGAAAAAAGACATTTAAGGACAGTAGCAAAGTTTATCATGTGCAGACCCCGAAGGGATGAGGTTTAATTAAATCATTTGAAGAAAATGCAGTAGTTGAAAAAAGGTGCCGAGAAATCCAATCTATAACACGAGGTATATTGCTTTTTTTAAATACATACTAAATTTTAATTGCAGTGGCTTTCACTCCTGTACTGAGGATTGCTAATCAAACTCTTTTAAAATGATCAGCAAAGTTGTTTGCATAATCTTTTAGAGCAAAGGATATGCATCCGCTCAAACAAGATACTTCATTAACCCACGCTTCACAAGCTCCAATGTAATGTGCAGTGCACCCAATTCACCAAACAGGTCAGTGAACTATCGAAGTTAGAGTACAAATACACCCTTGGAAAGACAGACAATTATACTACTTACCACAGTTAAATATGGATACTTTATAAGCAAAACATTCTCTCAAATATTCTTGTCTGAACCAAAATTTAAGAGAAAAAGAGTCACAAGGAAAAGAGAAGAAAATAACACTTTACAACAATTAGACTACAACCACTGTATCAGAATCATGCAAGAGAACTTTTTCAGTGCAATGTTATCCTAAATAAAAAAGAGGAAATTGGGACAAATAGAAACAGATCTAGGAAACATTAATATGGGAGACTAAAGAGATGTGGGAGACAAAATAAAAAAAAATATGGCGAGAGAAGGAGAAAATACAAGGGGGGGAGGGGGGCAACAGAGGAGAGGGGAGAGGGAGAGGGGTCAGGGTTGGGTAGGAGTCATTGTGCAGTGGCTTATCATGTGAGAGTCACATTGGGGCAAAGCTCTGACTAGTTTATGGGAAAAATGAAGCAGGACGGCGATGCAGGCAAATCCCTTTTATTAGGCTTGCACAAGAAATCTTAAAACAGCCAGAATTTAATTAAAATGAATTACAGACATGAGCAGCAGCAGTTGTGCTGCATGCAGATGAAACATTGACCGCCTGTCCTCTTTCTTCAGGCAGTTTTTATTTTATTTCTTTATTACCATAATGTGGACGCTGGAGGTTACTGTTACAGTATGCCCTACATGTTACCTAGGGGTCCCACCAGGTGGCATCATGTGTCTGCATGCATTGGATGCAAATGATGACCACAATTTAGGAAGTGAAAGAGTAATAATTAAGACTAATACTACTGTAAACGTTGCAAAAACTTCAGGTGAATCCCTTCTCCACAACACCAGACTTAATAACACGTTCAAACTAATTTTCTGTGTATCTGACCTCTAATGCAATGAGAGAGAATTGTCAAAATGCTCTTTTCAAAAGGGGAAAACAAGCTTCAGCCAACAGTTAAGACTTGTCAAATTCACCTGCTGCCAGTCCAAGATGTGTGTTGTATGTCATACTTGAGACTTACACACAATAGCTCCTTAGTTACAACTAAAAAAACATCCAAATCCAGTTGCTTCCCTACCATATGTTGGTACAACATCTCTGAGAGGCTTTTGGAGCAACTAAATATGTATCAAAAATGTGTAAATGCAGCTTGGGTTTAAAAAAAAGAAGAAGCAGTTTAGCCTTGAGTTCATAGTTGTGTGAATATTATTGTAGTAGAGATAGCTTATCTTTGCAGCAGCCTTATTGCTCTCTGTCAAGGTCAGTAAACAGGGACAGTGTCATGTCTACCTACTGACACGGTTACCCCTGAGCAGGAGGGTCATTCAAGGAAGCTAGCTGTATTTAACGACAGCACAGCGCCGATTACAGAGCTCAAAAAGAGCTGCCGGACGTGACTACAGGCTCTCCTCATTATGGCGTCCTTGTTGCATTGGCAACTTGACAGCTAACACTGTGACTACAGATTCATATCTGCGCTATAATGAAGCAGTATGTGCCTTAACAAGTGACAGGTGGAGTAGACTCCCTTTCTGCAGGCAGCTGTGGTGTGCTTTGTTGAACATGCTAGGACACGTTAGCATTAAAATAATTAAGATGACAAAAATTAAAAAGTTGGTTCCAAGAGTCCATACAATGAAATAATACAACATTAAGCATTTATTGATACATTTCATGATAAAAAAGAGGGATTATAAAGTTCTATATTCACAGCCCGAAACTCGTAGTAAATGCTTTATGATGATGTTAAAGCTACATTAAGATTAATTTCTTACAGCTTACAATGAACTATGTTAGCTAGTTGTTTATTACGGTTAAAGCTCTCACCTTCTCTTTAAAACAGCTCAAACTCACTGTCGTCTTCTGTGACAGCTCTTAACACGAGGTTCCGCTCCTCCTGGTTGCTTTCTGCTGCTTACCTGCTCTCTTTCAGCCGGCGTCCTTGACCATGCTGCTTACAGTCTTATCTATGGGACTACGAGAGGGGGGGGGGGGGGGGCTGGAGACGTCACTTCCCTTCCCGTTTTTCTCGCGCTAAAATCAACCATCGCGAGATGCTGATCTGTTCTGCAGAATAGCATAAAGAGCCTTTTTAGGTCATTAGACATTTTGATTATATTAAAAATTATTATATTATATCATATTCGATTATACAACTCTACAACGAAATTAGAAACGCTTCAACTTATTAAAGTGCACAAACATACACATTGTAAAACATTATAATGGGAAATTCTGTACTAGCATACAACAGAATATAGCCTAGGTTATCACACATAAAAACATCCACAAACAACAAAAAAGACAAAAAAACTAATGGACAATGGTGAAAGTCTGGTTCTGGGACGATGGCATGTGTATGAATCAAAAAACTTTCTTATTCCTGGCTAGAAATTATTGTAAATAATAGTAAATAGTAAATAAAAAAGTAAAACTATAGAAAAAAATAGAAGCACACCTTGGTTTTTGAAAGGAAGAAACTCATGATACCTTTGTCATGGATAACCTCATATAACCCTCAGATTGTCACAGATAAATTGGCGACTTCCTGCCTGTGTTCACTTTGAAACGAGAACAAACCAATACCAGTCTGCACAGTGCTGTTTACTTTTCAGACCTCACAGGTTACAACGAAGTGTGGATTTTTATGTTGCAGCTGTAAAAATATCAGGTCGGAAAGGAAAGGGAGTGCAGTCTAGTCTATTTAGTTTGGTCTAAAGTCTGCTGACTGAGTCAAACATGCTTATTTCTTTTTCCAGTCATCTGGGATCATTTTAGCTCCCTCTTTAAGCATCCAGAGTGAACACTGTATCACTTGTTTAGAATGTTTAGAGACCCTCAGGTGTCTGCAGCTTAAATGACACCAACATTGGTAAATCATTTAGTCAGAATAAATAAGTTTGATTTGCTTTAAAACAGACAGTCAATATTGATGATTCTGTTATTAAATCACCCAATGCTATGACATGGTTGCCCTGTGATTGGACACTTGGGGTAGGCATGACAAATCAGTCGCTATTGGTGGTAAATTATTTGTAACTCTTTGTCAACAAGAGGGTACTTTTTTTTCTTCTTGAAAGCTTGTTTTGCAATCCCATATTTACCATCACTTTTAATTATTGATTTCTGGACCAAAACACCCTCAGTGATGTTTTGTAAGCAAACTCATAACTGCTCTTTTGGGTATCTCGGTTATCCTAGTGATTACATGTTTATGCCAAGCTGCTAGTCGTCTAACTGATATTTTGTGCAAAGCTGTCATTGGGTGGTCTGAGCTCTCACAGCATTTTAACACATTTTACCTCATTTATTATAATTTCTTTGACATTTTAAAGTGACGTGAAAAAGTGGCTTAGGCTAGGATAACTTTCTTTTTACAACCACCTTCAAGATTACCCTCTAAATCTACTTTAAATCTCCTGCTAAACAAAACAGTGGACATGATGGGAATTGATGGTCCTTTACAAAGTGTGGTATCACAGCTCAGGATTTAAAGTTCTGAAAGTTCAACAGCATTTTTAAACCAAGCGGTTGTTGTGGGGTTATACAGTAACGGCCCAAGAATGCAAAGGCACCATGGAGACAGTAGGCAGATTCAATTGTCTCTCTTTTCTTGTTAAATCATTACCTGACACTCTGCTAAGGTCCTGGCTGGTGTTAAGTAACAGGTGATACTGTCTTATTCTGTGTTATTGGGTTCAATTGTTAACTCTCAGCACAGCAAGCTAACACATTTCAGCACTATAATGTACTCATCTCACTGTAATAATAACAGTCCAACTGTGTGAAAACAGTACAGGAAATGTTTCCTCTGAGAAAATAGTAATGATGGAAGGAGGAGCATGTTCTTGACTTGGTTGGACCTTCTTTTTTTTTTTTTTACTTCTTCTAAGAGACACTATACAAAGTGCATGCAGAGACCCAAGAGCCTGCAGCACAAAGAGCTGTTCTGAAATAATGAGGAAACACCTTATGTACCAACATACTTCCCTCTTACTTGTGTAAATGCCTTCTTTGTTCACAAATTCATGTACCATTTCAGTTACTATAACCATTCCCTCTGTTTGGTTTATATAACCCCCCCCCCCCCCCCCCGACTTCAACTGCTTTAACTATTAATATGGGCCTTGTCGTTATTATACATGTTCATTTGAATCTCACAGCTCCCCATGTCATTGTCATTATAGTTGTCGATCATTATATTATCATACTTTGTTGTTACTGATAATTCTACACATTCTTTTACCATTGTGTCTGTCATTGTAAATATAAATCTGTTTTATTCATTGTTGTTTTTGTTGTTGTGGGTATGCTGGAGGTTTCTGCCTGTTAAAAGGAAGCTTTCATTGCCACTGTAACTTTGCTAAATGATGCTGAGTGCTGTGCTCATGGTGGATTAGTGTTGGTTCTTTGTATAACACAATAAAGATTAAGGTATAGACCTGCACCTTTTGTAAAACTGTCTTGAGATAACATTTGTAATGAATTGGTGCTATACACATAAAGATTAACTGATTGATAAATATCAAGAATGTTAATGTTTTATCAGATTTAGAGTTTGGCTCAGTGCCGTATACAACAGGTTTACGCTAAGGACAAAAGATGTTAGATAAGATATTACATTGTGTTAACTTTTATCATCTAGGAGGATGTTAAGTGAAGGTTCTGACTTCCCTCTCAGATTTATTCTATTAGCTAATGACCTTCTCTGAATGAATGCAGTCCAGCACATCATTATGAACTCTTACTTTAGAGATAAAATGTGTCACTTTAATTATGTTAGCATGTTGTCACTATAAACATGTTAGCATGTTGTTACTTTGCGCATGTTAGCATGTTGTTACTATAAACATGTTAGCATGTTGTTACTTTGAGCATGTTAGCATGTTGTTACTTTGAGCATGTTAGCATGTTGTTACTTTGAGCATGTTAGCATGTTGTTACTTTGAGCATGTTAGCATGTTGTTACGTTGAGCATGTTAGCATGTTGTCACTATAAACATGTTAGCATGTTGTTACTTTGAGCATGTTAGCATGTTGTTACTTTGCGCATGTTAGCATGTTGTTACTATAAACATGTTAGCATGTTGTTACTTTGAGCATGTTAGCATGTTGTTACTTTGAGCATGTTAGCATGTTGTTACTTTGAGCATGTTAGCATGTTGTTACTTTGAGCATGTTAGCATGTTGTTACTTTGAGCATGTTAACATGTTGTTACTTTGAGCATGTTAGCATGTTGTTACTTTGAGCATGTTAGCATGTTGTTACTTTGAGCATGTTAACATGTTGTTACTTTGAGCATGTTAGCATGTTGTTACTTTGAGCATGTTAACATGTTGTTACTTTGAGCATGTTAACATGTTGTTACTTTGAGCATGTTAGCATGTTGTTACGTTGAGCATGTTAGCATGTTGTTACGTTGAGCATGTTAGCATGTTGTTACGTTGAGCATGTTAGCATGTTGTTACGTTGAGCATGTTAGCGTGTTGTCACTATAAACATGTTAGCATGTTGTCACTACAAACATGTTAGCATGTTGTCATTACAAACATGTTAGCATGTTGTTACGTTGCGCATGTTAGTGTGTTGTCACTACAAACATGTTAGCGTGTTGTCATTACAAACATGTTAGCATGTGTGTCACTTCAAGCCATTTTTTTCCTTAATTGTACTCTTTTTTTTTTTTACATCGGAGGTATAACTAACAGTTATATTATAGTTATAAACATTCCATATACAATGTATAGATACATAAACGTTGAAAAAGCCAGCAGGAAGTCCGATGTTGTTTTTTGTTCAAACAAAGTTAATTTCTTTCAACATACAAAACGTCTTTGCAGCTTTGTTGTTTTGAACATATTCAATTGAGGTGCAGTAGCCTACTGTTTCAGTTCAATAAGAAAATGATGAAAGCAGGGTTTCGAGGTAGTCCATTTTGATTTGTGAATGTGAAATTTTCCAAGGATAATAAGGAGTTGAAATACATAGTTGACTTTAACAGACAAACCATTTGAATCAAAATATAACATAACATCAAATACCTTTATCTGTACATTAGTTCCAGCTTTTCTATTTATATAGTCGTTCAGTTGTTCTCCAAAATAAGCTTGAATGTTCACAGTGAAAAAATAAATGGAATATAGTTTCCTTCACCGAATTGCAAAAAAACACAAGAGTAATCTATGTTGAGTTTAAATCTTTCTAACACTTCTTTGGCAGGATAGATTCTGTGTAAAATCTTGAAGGATACTTCTTTCACTTCGTTAGTAATACAATATTTATTAAGAAAACAGCAAACCTTTTTCCAGATTAACTTTTAGTCAAGGACAGGCTGAGAGTTGGAGTTGAGGCGGGTATTAAGCCTCTTGATGAACCATTACGTCGCGCCCACCTGTCAGTCATGTCAGCTTGGTAACTATGGATAAAATGGAGCCGTTCACAAAAAATTAATCCCTCGTACAGTGTGTCCCAGTGATGACAATAACTAATCAGACTTGTTTCATTTTTTGTACCAGGCTGTAAACACGTTTATTTATGCTGTGAAAATTACTTTTTTTGCCTGTTGTGTTTAAGTGACTCTCTGTGTTCCTGCAGACAGCCTCAAGCGGACACTCAACAATCTGCAGGATTTTTAACTTCCGCCTTGGCTTAATTTTTGAAGGCCAGAGGTTGCCGCTCGCTATAAGCATTAGCATGTTGTCACATTGAGCATGTTAGCATGTGCCACTCTTTTTTCAATCTCAGACACATGTCATAAACCCACAGATTATTTCACATAAATCACAGGGAAGTCAACAGTTTTGATGTTGTGCTTTCTACAGTTATTTAACCCAAATTAATGCAGCTATAATGTTATAATGACTTCACTGCGGCTAATAAATCTCATCGAGAGGAGCTCATGACTGTATGGGAAAGAAATGTCCTCATTTTCCCGTAATGCCGCTAAATCCCATTAAAACACTGTTTTGTGTCCTATAAAACTATGATCTGTTGGTTGCCAAAGTAAAGGTAATTATAAGATCAGGGTTTGCAGGATGTAAACTCAGGTTCTTTCTTTGTGTAAAGCCAGCGAGCGTCTCACGTCAACCCCAGCTGGACTTGTTTATCTGTTATGGAGAAAGCCCTGTGTTGTAGGATCTGACTTTATAAGCCAGTTAATGATACATTATTCTGTATACGTATTCATGCACAGGATATTGTCAACAACATGACTCCCAAGAAAAAGGTTAAGGAGAAAGCTTACTCTAGGATGCTGGAAAGGAGGCTCCGGCCAATTGTCGAACCTCGGATACAGGAGGAACAATGTGGATTCCGTCTTGCTGTGGGACAGTGGACCGGCTCTCTACCCTTGCAGGGCTTCTTGGGGGAGCATGGGAATTTGGTCATCCAGTCTACATGTGTTTTGTGGATTTGGAGAAGGCTTTTGACTGTGTCCCTCGGGGGATCATGTGGGGGGGTACTGCGGGAATATGGGGCCCCGGGGCCGTTGGTACGAGCCATCCGGTCCCTGTATGAGTGAGAGCTGTGTCCGCATCCTCGGCACAAAGTCAGACATGTTCCCAGTGCGTGTTGGCCTCCTCCAGGGTTGCCCCTTGTCACCGGTCCTGTTTGTGATCTTCATGGACAGGATCTCAAGGAGCAGCCGGAGGGAGAAGGGTTTCCAGTTTGGGGACCTCAAAATCTCGTCTCTGCTTTTTGCAGATGACGTGGTTTTGTTGGCTTCCTCAAACTGGGACATCCAGCAGGCATTGGGGCGGTTTGCAGTCGAGTGCGAAGCGGCGGGGATGAGGGTTAGCACCTCCAAGTCTGAGGCCATGGTTCTCTGCCAGAAAATGGTGGATTGCTCTCTCCGGGTGGGGACTGAGTCCTTGCCCCAAGTGGAGGAGTTCAAGTATCTCGGGGTGTTGTTCACGAGTGAGGGTTGGATGGAGCGTTAGATTGACAGACGGATTGGCTCGGCGTCAGCAATAATGCAGGCGTTGTGCCGGACCATTGTGGCGAAGAGGGAGCTGAGCCTGAAGGCAAAGACCTCAGATAAGCGGAAGAAAGTGGATGGATGGATGGATGAAAAATATGTTTTGTACTTTCAATTGCAGGTGCGCTGTTCATTGAAATACTGTGTGTATTTTTAGGCTTTTTTCTGTTGCTCTGAGAGAGGAAGTGCAAGTAGATCAACCCCCACACACCGGCCTTTTTGTTTCACAAAATCACAATGCAGTGAGGAACTAATGTGTGAAAATGTCTTCTCTTCACAGCAGATTTTCATTGGCTAAAGAGTAACTTATTCTGTGCAGAAAAAATGCACTTGTGTGGTTTATGGTGAGCATGAAAAACTGACTTCTTTGTGACTCAAATATAATTTTTGGCCTCAGGAAGTTCCCTTCAAGGAAACCATGATTTTGCAGCTGCAGACGCAAACAGTGCCACACAACCACAGCGTACACCTGCAAGGGTGGAAGTGAACCTAACCCAAACTGGGTTTTTTTCACACTCAAGAAAAACATGCCGTCCATAGCAACAGGCCATGCCCTCCAACAATCCAGGGGAACCTACAAGACATGAGAGGTCAGGAGCTCCCAGGAAAATATATGGTTAGTGACTGAGATTTACAGATAGTGACATGCAGTAATATGATGTGAAAGCACAGAGTGAGAGAGAGAGAGAGAGAGAGAGAGAGAGCGAGAGAGAGAGAGAGAGAGAGAGAGAGATACAGCAGGAACTCAATGTGCCAGTTCCCCCAATAACAGAATAGTTTTGAGTATGGGCAAGGTAAAGCTTTGTGTATTCAATTTAAGTGTGTTAAAGCTAGAAATGCCCAATCAGAGTTTTTACCACTAAGAAAAGGTGTTCCACATGGATCAGTTTTCGGCCCTGATTTTTTTTAAACATTTGTGTAAAAAAATAGTGTTTTTCATAACTGACAGTAAAATCTATCTCAAAGCAAATGATATTTATATTATGTTTGCAGACTCCTTATACTGTACTATTTAGAACCAAAACAACTGTCTTTCAGTGCTCTTTTGAGTGCTATCAGCCTTAAATTACTAGTAAATTGTAAAATATTTATATGGGGCTTTTGTGCCTTTATTTGAGAGACAGGACAGTAAATAGAGTCAGAAATCAGGGAGAGAGAGTGTTGAATGACCTGCAGGAAAGGAGCCACAGGTCGGATTTAAACCAGCTAAGGCCACCCTCATTCGTGGACTTCAGCCTCTGATCATTAGGTGCAGACACTCACTACAAAGCTAACTGCGCCTCCCAGAAAAACCTAATTAATGCTAAACTTCATTGCAAATTAGGGAAACTTATGTGATTTTGAAGGCTTAGATAAACGGTAGAATAAATTCTGACTCAGGTATACAGAAGCAAACAACTAGCAGCTCCTGTATGGTTTACAGGACCTAACTCACTCTTTCAGATATATGAACACTTTCTTTGATCCTGCCTTTTTTAACTTGAATATTATCAGTTGCCGCCTTCAGCGCACCGCATCATTTTCCCAGAATCAATATCCTTATCAGTGTCCCACCCTTTAGCTCTGCAGGGGGAAGACCACTGACTTCACAATCTACAGTTTGTAGGCACATTATTATCATCTTGCAACAGTCCCCACTGAACACTTGTCCGTCATCACTATCAACATTAGTGTCGTGAGAGACGGGCTGAATTTCATGAGGCGAGAAATTCAACGGGATGAAATTTCCACCAACCATTGTGAAACCTTACAGTAAAAACAGATAATAAGTAGCTGGTATTTATGGCGACAATACTCAGTGGCACACAACGGCATTTATGTGTGTTTCCTTATTATGTGCAAAGTATTCGGAACTGAAGCTTATGAGGAAGTCAGTTAAACAGGGATATGAAAAGGCCAAATATATTTAAACACAAAATCTCAAACAATATTTGTCCTAAGTTGTTGCTCTATATATTTAAATGTTGAATTATACATGAGCAGATGCAACAATGGATGATGCAATCCACATTCTGGATGAGGTCAGCAGGGGTCCCAGGGTGGGTCTTTCTGTCATGCTGCAGGCGAATGATATCGTATCTGACAAGCAGCAGCGACAAGCACACGCACACAAGGTTTGGCTCCAAAAGACTTTGACATTTTGGGTTGGTCATTTCACCTGCCTAAACAATCATGGGTCAAATCATGCACGTTTTTCAATCTATCCTTTCATTTGTTCTAATTTTATTTTCCAACTTAAATGCGAGACTTGCTTGTGATTCTGGTTATGACACTTTGGTATTTCCACTTCTGATTATTCTGTTTCAACCTCTCCAAACCATATTGTTTTCCCCCAGTTAAAAGACAGAGTATTGCACAAATATAATAACAAACCTCCTGCAAACCTCCTCTACCATCCTACAAATAAAAGGGAAAATGAATGACTGTTTAAAGCTGTATAGTATAGTTGCAGCTAAGTAGAACAACAGTGAACACTAGTGGTGGTACCAAGAACAACACTAAGAGTGAGGTAAAAAAATATTTATTGGACAAACATGTTGGCCTCAAAAACTATTTTAGCAACAGAAAATTTGCTTCAACTCAACAACCATTTGTTCAAGCAGGCCAACAAACTGACAAAAACTAACATTCATACACACACACACACGCACATCTGCAAACATGTTGGATACGATCAGTTTTAGTGGCTGGGTCTGAAGGGGAATGGCATCCCCGTCATGAATGGCTGAGCGGGGTACTGAGCGTGAGAGGAGGGATGGGGGGCTAGAGGTGTGTGTGTAGGGAGTACAGGGTGTGGAGGGTGTGCAGGGTGTGGAGGATGTGTGGGGTGGGAGGCGATTGGGGAGTGAGCAGCGTGGGGACTGAAGGCCAGAGGAGGAGTGTGGATGTTGTTATAGTACATCACCGGGCCTGACAACACCAACTGGAGCAAACTGGAGACAGAAATACATAAAAAATGACACAGCGAAAAAATATTTTTTAAAAATATATATATTAAATGATCTTGTGAGTTATGCAGACCATGAACCAAGGCACAAACTTGGCTTGTTCCTCCCAGTCGGACCTTTTTATTTATGACAAAAATCATTCTCTATTCTACTATTTAACTATTGTTTTGTAGCTTAAACCAAGAAACCAGAGGGATTGGTGACAAAGCAAGTGTACAGTTAGTGGTTCTTACTTGTTGTGTGGAAGGCGGGAACAGATGGCTCGCAGGTCCTCTGTGGAGGAGACAAGGCAGCATGAAAAAAAATAAGATCGTCACGGCATCAACAGACAAAACATATGACTTTGTAGTTTATTTCTATCATAACCAACTGCAGGTTTCGATCTAATAAGATGAGGTCTTTGTTGAGGATTATGGGAAGGCTCATGTTCTTTACAGTGTCAATCTCCTAATATATTTGAAGCCCTTGAGCTATTTTGTATTATGTATTAGTTTGTTTGTACTGACACTTGAGTTTGGCCACTGCCTACTTGGTTCATCCTTTTCCCTATACAAATAAACATTAAAATAACAATATTAAAAAATTATGCTACTAGGCTGAAACTCAATTTTAACTAAAAAAAAAAAAAATATGGCAAGGGATGTGGATGCTGTACAGATAGATTATGTTTGAAATGTAGTATCTGTCAACGGGGCAGTTGACAGATACTGACTAGCCATCATTCTGTTAAATTCTGTTAAAATGCCTTTTTGTTTTATGTTAGTCTACAACATAATAGAAAATATGAAGACCTTTCTTTTCAAAACATGGTGAATGCCAAGACTCTACCTGGTCATATAAAGGTCAATAAATCAACTTGTGAGAGGGGAGTCAGAGATGTCAGTATGAAATCAATCTTACCTCTCGAGCAGAGCAGCGCTCCATTGGCCATCGCCACCTGCAGGGCTTGTGCGAGCCGATCCAGGGTCAGCTGGGACAGTGAGTGTGTATCGGCGGATGATGTGTGTGTGTGTTTGTCTGCCTGGTCCAACAGCCTGGAGAGGTCTGAGGTCAGAGCAGCCAGGGACTCCACCTGAAGCAGTGCCAGGCGGCCGAAAAGCCCCTTCTCATTTAGTATACTGGGCAAAAGCATGAAGACCTGAATGTGGTAGATGGACAACAGGTTGATTATATTCACTGTTTAAGTAAGAATTTTGTAAGATTTTTCACATATAAATGTATATTATATCTCTACGTAAAACCACACACCTGCAGGACACTCAGATGGAGTCCAGAGAACAGAGGCCCCACCTCCGGCTCGCTCTCAGTGGTGCCGTTTGTTAACGCCGGCTTCTTTTCCTCCCTGTATGTCAGCGGTGCTTTGACGCACCAGCGCATCAAGCCGCCTAAAGGTGTGACATCCAGTGAGCTGATTGGCTGGCTCCCAGAGAGGGGCGCGTTCAGGAAAGTGATGAGGACCAGACGAGGGTCATCTTGGATCCACGACACGATCATCTGGAGGAGTTCTAGGGGAGGGGTTAGCTCCTCTAAAAACAAACACACACACAGACAATAATGGTTCAAATGATTCCCAAACATTTCAAGAACATGTTTTGGAAGTTAAGCCGACCTTTTGCACAGATTCATTTGTTTTGGATCATTATTTAATTCTGTATTTTTGAAACAAAGTACCTGAGGTGAGGTCATAGAGGGTGGTAACTGCAGTGATGAACTGGCAGCAGAAGCGTGGGCTTGCACTGTGAATGTTCTGCAAGGTGGGCACTGAGCCTGGCACCAAACTACAATAGTCATCTACAAGTACCTGTGCCAAACGCACACAGTACACTCTGTGGGTTCTCTGCAAGACAAAAACATAATCAAAGGTACATTATCAGTACATCTGTAATACAAACCATGTTTCCACAAGAGAAGGACTAAGAGGCTTATATCACACATAAAGTACCTCACGGACTTCAACTGAATGAATGGCAAAAAAAAAAAGTTGCCACCAAAAAAAAAAAAGATCACACACTCTAATATTTCGTTGGACCGCCTTTAGCTTTGATTACGCCACGCATTCGCTGTGGCATTGTTTCGATAAGCTTCTGCAATGTCACAAGATTGATTTCCGTCCACCGTTGCATTCATTTTTCACCAAGATCTTGTATTGATGATGGGAGAGTCGGTCCACTGCGCAAAGTCTTCTCCAGCACATCCCAAAGATTCTCAATGGGGTTAAGGTCTGGACTCTGTGGTGGCCAATCCATGTGTGAAAATGATGTCTCATGCTCCCTGAACCACTCTTTCACAATTTGAGCCCGATGAATCCTGGCATTGTCATCTTGGAATATGCCCGTGCCATCAGGGAAGAAACAATCCACTGAGGGAATAACCTGGTCATTCAGTATATTCAGGTAGTCAGCTGACCTCATTCTTTGGGCACATAATGTTGCTGAACCTAGACCTGACCAACTGCAGCAACCCCAGATCATTGCAGTGCCCCCCACAGGCTTGTACAGTAGGCACTAGGCATGATGGGGTGCATCACTTCATCTGCCTCTCTTCTTACCCTGATCACTCTGGAACAGGGTAAATCTTCCTTCTAGTTTTTAATAATGTGTTGGACAGCTTTTTAACCAAATTTTAGTAGTTTCTGCAATCTCCTTCGATGTTTTCTCTGCTTGATGCAAGCCAATGATTTGACCCTTCTCAAACAGACAACCACAGGATGGGTCTTTCAACATAGTAGTTTAAGAAATGAGAAGCTACTCATTGCATCAGTTGGGGTTAAATAACTTGTTGCCAGCTGAAACATAATCGCCCATGCAGTTATTATCCAATGGGAGGCTCTTACCTATTTGCTTAGTTAAATCCAGGTGGCGACTTTTGCCACAGGCAAGTGTATAAAGAAATGTGCATTGTCCCTGTAACTTCAGCAGTATAAAAATAAAAAAATAATGAAGATCAAGTGTGTTTTTCGTAAGAATCCTCACCTGTAACCAGGTAGCAGCACATTCCAAGATAGGCACCCTGCCCACAGCGATTGCCATGGAGACCAGCTTGCTCAACAGTGCCATCCGGCTCTCGTCTGCCTGGTTGCCTTGGAGACTGAATAGGGCGGAGAACATTAGCTGACGGACAGTATCACGGCTCTGCTCCTGGAAACAGCTGCACATGATCTCCAACAGCTGGAGCTCCTGAAGAGCGCTCATCCTCTGACAGAAGGGGGAAAAAAAAGAAAATACTATTTATGAGCTGTCTTTGATGCGTTCATATACAGTGTTATCGGTGGAAACGCATGTCGTGGGCCATGTCTTACCCTGGCTGGAGTGCTTCTGTCTTTAGGCGCATGCAGGATGAACTCCTCCACCAGCTCCAGGGTTTTGGAGTCGACCTGAGGAGGCTGCCTCCCGGACTGCACCAGGTTACAGATGTAGATGTCCAGGTGATACAGCAGCTCCTTGGCTGCACTGAGCACATCGCGAGGCAGCAACGACTGACGGATGTCACCCATCACCACCTTTCACAGACCAAAACAAAGGTTGCAAAAAAAAAAAAAATGTACGGACTCCATTGTAAGAGAATGTGTAGTGTTCAAAACTGTCTCATAAAGATGATCAAAAATGTCTTAATGGTGAATTAAATGTCATTTTCATCAATAAACTGTATGCAGCATGGGAAAATGAAGTAGGTTTGTCTTTACGAGTCTTAAAATGCTTTGATGAGGATGCTCAGATGCATCTAAACGCAAACAAAGCACCTCTGTTTATATTTCACTGTTTATGAATCAAGCAAAACAGCAATGCATAGGAAACCGATACACATGACCAACTTTAATGTTACATGTCTTTATCTCAGTCTTTTTTATTCATGGGCTCACAGGTTAAACACTTTTCAAGTGGAGCAGCTTCAGTCGGTCTCCTCCATCCTGACACACTTAGCGTTAGCGAGCTTAGCTAAAAATACTATTTACTTTTCTTCACTACAACTTTCATGTGCGTCACTTATAATCACAGTGGACACTCAAAGAAAACACGTGTTTTATCACGCTCTCACCTCTTAAAAAACGAGCTCTTGATACTCTTAATAAATGAGTTGGTTACAGGACAAGTAGATCTCCAAACGACAACGGGACCACTTCCGGTGTTTCTACGGAGCCTTGTGAAGGACAGAACACCTGCCATTGACTTCTCCTGAGGAATCAGCGCATGTGCTGTTTGGCCAATGTCAACAAAGATAAAGATTCATCTTTAGTTTTACTGGAAGTTATTTTAACCACTATGACATTTTAAGGTTTTCAAAACTAAATAAATAACATTGATGGTCAACTCACAATTCATTATCTTGCTATAAAAAAATATTGTTGGCTTTAAATAGAATTCAATGTGCAGACTCTGTATATTTACATTTTATATTGACGTTTTCTACATGAGAAATTGATAGGCCTAATATAAATAAACTCTTTTTTCCCCACAGGGACCCATGTTTGTGTATATGATATGATATATATTATTTACATGATGTTATATTATTTAATATGCTATTATTTATATTATATTGCAATAAACTATATACAAAGTAGCCTGAGTTTAGGTGATAAGAAACCACGTTGTCCATTCCTTAAGGCCTAACAATATATTGACTATCATTTGTAGGTAGCATATAAATATTCAATGTGCAATCCCTGTTTTTAATATGAATTTTCCTTAGGATGCTTATTTGTGCCAATTACAGTCCTGTTACGTGGAGTTTATTATGCGGCCAGGAGAGCACCCCTTGACTTGTCAAGTCATCATGTTATAACCTTTTAACCTTATAACAACTTTTTGTTATATAACAAACGGACCCAAATAATATAGACCTTATCAAATATTGCATACTGTTGCAAAGCTATATTTTTGTGATTTACAATATTTTAGTAGGCTATATTTTTCATATTTTCGACACAGTAATCCTTTATAATCTAGGCGCGCGCCTGTTAGGCTCGTGGAGAAAAAAGGAAACAGTGGTGCACTCAGTGTCGCGCGCTCCCGACAGCACTTCGCTCTTGCACTTTCTGCCGTCCGCCGACTGATTCCAAGCAGCCCGCAAGATGACATCAACACCCTGGCTAAAGAGGGCTGGAACCGGGAGCAAATGGCGTGCTTTCGAAAGGTAATACTGACTCACTCTGCCTCATTTCTTTTTTTTTTATATATATATTGTTGTGACATATTATATTGAAGATGTGAGCATGATTCCGAAAAATAAACACCATGAACACAACCAGGATAAATCAAGTTATAAAAAGGAAGAATTTTTCAAATCTGTCCTGTTCTTTTGAACGTATGACTTTGTATGTGTGTTTAAAGTGTTTTTTTTTTTTTTTTTACTGTGTGTCTGCAAGCAGGTGTGTGCATCTCTGTGTGTGACTTCATGTATGTCTTTTTGCGTGTGTGTGTGTGTGTTCTCTGACAGATGGAGAAAGTGATTGTGGCATGCAGGACCCTGACATGGGCATGAAGATGAGAAACCAAAGGCTCCTTATTACAGTCATACCACACGCCATGACAGGTGTGTGTGTTTGTGTGTGTGCCTGCATGTCAGTGTGCATCAGCATCTGCGTGGACTTGCACTTTGCAGCCAGTGTTTGAGTCCAGAGGTCATGCATAATGCAGCAGTGGACTTGGGAGAAGACTGTGTGCTTTGCAGAGTAGAGTGAAAAACTTTGTCTATTTTTCTTGTCTCTTCTCTAACTCTGGCTCTCTTTTCTTCAGGCCGGGATGTAATTGACTGGCTGATGCAGAATACAATATCGGGGAGGAGGGTAAGGCTTTATCGATGTATAAATTACATGTAGAGAGAGAGAGAGAGGGAGAGAGAGAGACTATTTGCTGTGATTCTCTTCCTCAGTGTGACTGGTTTGTTGTGTGGTTGCTAGTGTGTTGCCAGGATATGGAGCTTTCTCTCGAGCTGACGTGGTAGTGATGTGTTTGTGAGTGTATTATGGGGATGCTGTTTCCAGTAAACAAGAACTGGGGTCAGCCTCAGAGGATCCCAGTTTGATTAACTCACCTGATGATCTGCGTTTGATTAATGTCCCTGTGGAGTTTAGCACCTCAGGATACTTTGCCGCACTTGAATTAGAAGTTGGAAAAAAGGAGTCTGATGGTCCCTGTGGCCTCAGAGCAGACTAAAAGGAGGAAGGAGAGAAGTCAGTCAGGGAGGGGTAGAGAGACAGAGAGAGAGAGAGAGAGAGAGGGCGAGAGATTGTGTGTGTGGTAAGAGCTGATTAAAATGCATGGCACAGCTTTTTTTGGAAGCTGTCAGTCATTAAAGTAGGGCTCTTAAACAAATGAGGAGGGACTGAAGATTGATTATGCTTTCATCCCTGGAACAAAGTGTTGTTTTGAGAGCGACTGCTGACAGGGTGCATTTTTTTTTTTTAAATAAAATGTATGACTCATTTTGGTGCACAGTATTTTATACTTATTTTATTCCCTGATGCCAAATATTACTTATTCTTCCTGTCGGGTATGAGAGCCCTAACCAATAGCTTCTTCTTTGGACAGTCATAAATAAAACCC